TGAGGACCACTGAACATGCCACCACGGTGCCAGCTCAGGGCTCCCGGCAACGGAGAAGCACAACCCTCCTCTCGCACAGCCTCCAGTGCAAATGAGTACCACAGGTGATTCTTCAATACCTATTTTGTAAATCAAAGCCCACACGGATGCAGCATCCAAGAGACCTGGCTACACACACTCTAGTACGCGCTTTAGATAAGGACGGAGCAAGACCAGGACCTCAGCACCGGCGACTCAGCTCTGGCTGGCTCTGACGCAACGTTCAGCATTTTGGCGGAGGATTTCCATGGGCTTACCAACGAGTGAGAAGTAGTTCCACACCGTACACGACCAGAAGTTTTCAATTAACTTTTGCTGTGCCTCTAGTTGACTACATTTCAAGTTTAGTTCTGTTAACGATCTAGCCTAGGAGACACTTTGGCAGTGTCTGCAATGGCATGCTTTACTGCAGAAGACAAGCTTACTCAAAATCCACCAACAGTAGGAAATTCTCTACAGCATTTCTAGAATTCCTATAAAGTTCTGAAAAACTAGCTATGAGCATCAAAATTACATAATAAAAGATTTTTAATAGTTTACATCTGTCCACACAATTTGAGAAAATAAAAAATAGATGGGGAAGGATCTGTCCTTTATAAAAGCCCCTCAACTTCAGGGAGAGAAAAAGGATTCTTCTCTCCTGATCAGCATCAAATATAAAAATACATTTTACATATAGGCATATTTCACTAACATTTTTATACTTACGTTGTGAAAGGTGACAGACAACAGTCACTAGGAAATACAGTTAATTTTTGTACAAAAATGAATAGGGAGGTTGGACTGGTCACCACAATGCCCTTCTAGTAATGAGGTAAGTGAGTTTTAGATGAGATAAGCTAACATATAGGAGCCAAATTGTTTATTTTCTGCATTCAAATCTGTCAGAAAGTTTTTAAGTAAATGTACACAGAAAATGCCTGCTTAGGTTTACTAGAAACTTCCTATCCGCTGGCATTTTGTCAGCAGCTACCACTGAGGGAAACTATTATAAAAAAATCACTTTCTCACCCCAAACGAAACAGCATTCCCTATGAAGTTGGAAACTTTAGCCAGTATGGAATCAACAGGAACTGGATCAAACCCATTTTCCAAAGAATCTTAAACTTTCACTGACCTGAATTTTAAAAATGGTCTAATACGTTAAGTACCTCTAAGGTGTCCATTTCTGCTACCGAAGACCTAGAAAAGTAATTAATGATGCGCAATTCTGGAAACAAGCTAAGGCACTGTCCATAAGCAAGCTAAAAACACGCAGTTCCCCTGACCAGAAGGATTTCTGTTTTGCAAGTTGTCATGCAAAAGTAAAATTATTACTTCAAACTTTATCCCAAGTTATTTTAAAATTTAGTAACAATGGAAATCATGTGCTTATGAGCTTGCAATGCCCACGTCTGAGATACGGCACTCTGTTCTGACTCAGTGAACACACTGATGCAACCTTACCAAGAAATATTTAATAGTAAATGTCTCTTTCTAAGATTCAAGGAGCTACAAGTGGGTTTGGGTTGTTCTCAAGTTTGGGACTCTTTTTTGCTCAAAAAACGTTTCTTGCTTTGATGGAGAAACTAGCAACGTAGGTATCTTCTATCCACAAAACAAAAACTGCCAAGATGACACATTTATTAAGAAAAGAGGAAAAACACACTTGCATAAAGTCTGAGCCCATCTTACAAAGGTTATACCACCCATTTCCAAAACACACAGCTCTCCCTTCTCGTGCCGTGTGCCAGCAGCAAGGTATTCAGCTCCACGAGAGGTAACTGTGCTCTACTCGAGCTCCAGTTTCTGAATGCACAGACTCTGAGGGGCTCTGGTCTGAAAAAGGAGAGGTACGTATTGCAATTGCAAAGCGCCACAAACTCAAATTTAATCTCAGCAGAGCAAAGCAAAAAAATCCTGTTGCAACCCGATTAGTTTAGCTATTGAATCAAATATAGAACAGTTATAAATAAATACCTAAGCCCTAGATTTTTTTAAAGATACATATTGCTGCACTCAATGGCAATACACTTGATAGCCTCCAAGGCCAAGGTTTGAGTTTAATTAGCTTTCAGAGAGCCTCCAGCTCTTCCCTACCCATATTGCTCTTGAAAATAAAACTAAATCCTTCCACGCCTAGTGTTAACCGTATTATACACAACCATACTCTGGATTACATGGTGGTTTGAGTAACGAGGCTTAAACAAATCCTTTTACACCCTGATTAAGGAAACCATGCAAGTTAGGACAAGGCTAGAAAATAAAGCAGCAGTAGCACAATATGCGTGAAGGAGCCAGAAGCTAACAGTAATGTGAAATGTACTCTGCAATGAAAGTAACAGCTTTTCTAAAACCACTCTGAAGTGTGCAGCAGCATCAATTTACAGTTATGAGGCTACTGTGAATTTTCTGTGTACAGTACTGAATGCAACGTGTCCTAGTTTAAGCCAATTAATAGTAAGCCCCCGAACGACACGATGTCGTGAAGACGGAGACGCCCGAGTGCAGCTCTCCATTTTCCTTCAGCTCTTCCCTATGCATCAAACTTTTTTTTTCCCTTAAAGCCCCCACCCCACGCAATCTGAACAGAAAGCTGTTAAGATATTCTCAGAACAAGGGGGTATCTTTCACCTGTTTGTTTGGTCAGTTTTTAATGGCCTGCGGTGCCCAAACCAGAGAAAAACTCTACTGCACCGCCGGCCAACAGCCGCACCCCTAAATCATGAACCTGCATCGTATTGCACAACCCTTTCCGTGTTCTCCCCTACAGAGTGCTCTCCCCTAACATCAAGGGACTGGGATGAGATTAAGAAATTGAATTTCACTTCATGGAGAAGCATCTAAAAACGTTTTATTTTAAAGCTGGGGTTGGCAAAAGAGCACCTAAGTGCATTACGCTTGCCTTGTGAGCTCGCAACTGGAGATACACATGCTTTCAGAACAACAGAGTACGTGGCAGATTTCAGCGTGGATTTCGGAGAGAACTGATGCCAGGGGAAAAAAAAAAACCAAACCACAAACCAACAAACAAAAAGAAAATTAACATGCCACTGTAAACAGCAGGTTTCATTTCGTCTCTTTTTTCTAATGACAACAAACCCTCTTGTAACAACAAAATCAATTGTTTATAATTTCTGAACATAATTCAGGATGAGATCACTGCTTTGGGAAGAGCAAGAGGAGGAGAAAACCTGTTCTTTAAATGATTGAAAATTGCAAGATGAGCTGCTATATGGCATCAAAAAAGTCAAGTATTACATTGCAAAAATATCAAATGATCTTATTTATCAAGTATAATTAATCTGGCAGCCAGGATGCAGGACTTCCCTCTCTCATGAAGTCTCAGGGGACATCAAATTCCATGGTCAGTATCAGAGTACTTGCAAGAATTTGTTGCACCTCTTCCACCACGACTGGCAAACTGCTTTGGCCTTTAACATTTGCAGAAATTAGGGGACTCTGCCATACAGCAGCTCTTTCCCCTACCAGACAAACTGAACAACTGAAGAAAATGAGGCTCTTCCAGCTTTACTGTGATTATCATTGCAGTAAGACAGTGCTTAGCACAACAGAAGGTGAAGTCTAAAAAAAAAAACAACCAACCCCCCAAACCCCCCAAACTTACTAGTAAATGCTGACAAAAATACTACAGAAGATGGTTAAGAGTGTCAGAAAAGCAGTGCAAAGAAAGAGGTGTAAAAACCAAACCCAGGCTCCAGGTTTGGTATTAGGCAGAGCTCTAACTGGACAGGAGGGAAATCAAGGCGCTTCGTGGCTGGAAGGATTAAGCTGAGACTGAAACACTAAGGAGCATACAGTGTGGTGTAAACCTTTAGTGACTGGTAGTAAGATTTGTTCTAAGTTATGCCACTGATAAATAATTATTTCAGTTACAGCTCACTGGCTAATTTTTGGAAAAATGATTTTGGGATGCCAGTAGACAACAATAAAGCCATTTTAAATTTTTTCCTTTAGATATGTTATTTAGGAACGTCCCTTAACTTTCATCCACCTCGCACACTGCACCATACCCAAACCCTTTCCATTGGCAAACTGGGATGCCTGAGCCTTTTTGTATAGATGCTGAGGGGAACACTGTGTTTTTCTGTTGTTGGGTTGTTTTTTTTTTCCTTCTTTTTTTTTTTTTTTTTTTTTTAATTTTTTCCCCCCCGTTTTTCCTTTCCTTCTTCTTTTTTTTTTTTTTTAATTTCTGCTCCTTAAATCATGGAAATAACTTGGCAAAGGAGCTGAATTACAAGAAAAATCAGCTATGGGTTGTTTTTTTTTTTCCTTTTTTTTTTTTTTTTTTTTTTTTAAATTCATGCACCCACTGGTTTTCCATTCTGCTTGCCAGCTGCAGCTCTCTAAAAAGCAGTAAGGGCAGCAAAGCCTTGGGACGCTCATGAAATTTGTATCAGGCTTCACTGAGGACATACTATCCAGATCAATAACTGGGATTTTGTCTGCCGTAACTGTTACGACTCAAGAGAAGCAGCAATAAATTATTATTTGTGTGTGGGAAAATTTTGTTAGAAGACTGGTAAAACTGTTGAATAAACTACAATCACATTGCTTGATTACTTTCCTTCAAAGGACTCTCACCTAAACTTCAATTTGAAGCTGGTGGATACAATTTTAGAGAGTACCTCACCTCTTTGGGACAGCAAGGGAATTCAAACCCATGAACCCAACTCCAGACCTCCCCTGGTTTGAAGAGGGTACGTAACCACCCTCCTGCTCACAGTGCTGTCGTCCCTGCACCCAGCATTAAAAGCCCGTAGTGAGCAACAGAAATAAGTAATCCAAACCACTTGAGTTTTAATCTATCGGATCACATCTCCATGGCTCCAAACTAGTTACGCTTTATCTTTCTGCAGCATAGGGTTTTTCTGATTGCAAGCCCTACAACTGTGCTCCCCCCCAGTGTAACACCCAGGTACTGAACACAGCAGTTTGGACGCCTGAAAAACAGTCATCTGTTGCACAGTCAACAGTCAGGACTCCTGAACAGCCGTATCATCCAAAGGAGCATGTTTTTCCCCACAATCCAACCAGCCAGAGACAAGTGTGCTACGATTCAAGAATTATTTAGCATCGGCTGAACTGATTACTTTTTAACTGCTAACTGTGCAGAAAAGGCCCCCTCCTCTCCCAGCGTGAAAGCACGTGGGCAAGGCTCTGCAGCAGCAGGGACACCAGGAACAACAGCGGGATCACTGGACAAGCCGCTGCTCTCTTGTAATCCACCCTATCAATGCCCAGCTGGGCAAAACCATTGAACTAGAATGTTCTAGCAGAACCACTTTCCCCCCAGTAAGGTATGCCTTGCTGGTTTTGGTCTTGTACAACGAATGTTTGTCAATGACTTGCTATTGATCATGGAGCTGTACATAGATATAAAAGTTAGGCTCATTGAGCTCTGAGTCTCTGCTTCACCAGGTTTCTCACAATATCCAACTGTGTGTGTATAAATATACACGGAATAATACATATTGCAAATATATATCTATATACACACTCATCAGTATACATATTCAAACCTAAAATTATATATACCATATTGATATGGACAGATTCAAAATACTGCACATAAATGAGGAAGAACAGTGCTGAATATAACTTCTGGTTAGTCTTCATTGCTTTCTGACCAAGTATCTAAGCAAGCCGAGCAGTTTTTTAAAGGGTACAGCTGGGTTAAGTAAATCCATTTTCAGTAGACAATACAATCTGCTCCGACCTTGGGTAACAGTCCTTCCCTAGAGCACACGGCTTACTTGGTGAGAAGGCAACACAGCTCTCCAGCAGTCAGCGTGCCCCGAGATGCCACCATGAACAACCGCCACGGGGACACAGTGCTGGCACTGCACGTGGCACGGCCTGACCCGTGGAAAGGGCTCAAGTCACTGCATGCTATGCCTTACAGTCACCCGAAAACAGAAAGCAGTCACAGAGCCCAGCTGCCCTGCAGGGCTTTGGGCAGTGGTCTGGGACGGCGAGAAAGAAAGCTCAGACAACAACGGGGACCGAGAGAGGCCACAGACTACAGGCAGTGGGACCCTCCAACCTCTACATACCCACTGTGACTCCAGATAGATGGGAAGCTCAGACTTACAACGAGAAAGAAATTTACGCACGGTTTACCTATAAAATTATTTGAGCCAGGCAAGGGAACCATCATCTGACTCTGGATCTGTTCTGAACTGCAAACTCCAACATACCAAGGATGAGGAACTTTTTCTAGATCAGCTTGTTGGCTGGTGTGGCAGCAATGAGGTATAATTCAGAGCTTAAATCCCAAATGTGGAGGAATCATTCACTGTCACAAAAGCAAGAGAGCTTGTGCATTTCTACAAATCTATTTAACTACCAGTAAAATGTCTTATCACAAAAGTAACTGGACACAAGTAATCAAATTAATAAACTTAGATAACGAACCCCTCAGTAACTAAACTGTATTTTTAGATCTGCTTACTGGATATGTTTAAATACATTATTAAAGCTTTCATTTACATTTATAGACTCAAAGCCAAAAGCTAATGAATGACAAGTTCAGAATCTGCAACGAAAGGCACAGACAGACACGTCCTTGCATATCTCTCCGAAACGTTTTAGGACGTTATTGCTGCCAGCTGTTCCGTACCACTTTTCCAGTGGAGGTTACTGCTCCCCAAACCAAGGCTTCACGAACAGATCAGGCGGGTACAGCTAATCGGTATTCTTGCAACATCGGCCAGGACAGCTCGAGGTGATGTAAGGTGACCCCTGTCTATGATGTAACCTAATGCAAAGATCATTTATCTGTTTAACAAGGTGGCTGAAAAGGTATCAAGCCAGAAGGATGATCAAATTGTGCCTGCTAGGGACATTTCCCCTTAATCTCTCGATCCTACACAGACTTGGTCATAATTGTAGCATGGTGGAACCCGCAAGCACCATGGTCAAGAACCATGAATGAGAACAGACTGGAAGAGAACTATTGCCATCACCTGGTATTTAATGGGACTGAAGCCCAGTCATGGTCTTCAACCAGTTGCTGGAATAGGCTGCATCGCTGTTGTATTAGATGAATGATTTTTCAGTTTTCATAGTATCATTTCTGGGTGTTTAAAGAATGCCCGAAGAGAACCTGATTTTTCAGAAAACCTCTAGCACCAATCCTCTGAAAGTTAAGACTTTAATGTGTCTCCAATTAGGAACTCAAACCCACTAATCATTTCTGATAATCCTGGCTAAGAGTGCAATCGATCTCCAAATAGCAAGCAGGGTAACCAAAGCAGAAAGTGAGATTTTCCCTCCCAGCGCAATGTAACTTTAAATTATTTATTTTAAATTACAAGGAGTGAGTGAGAAGACTTCCAGAACAACAGTACTGTGCCACGAAAGCACCTGCTTACCGAGTAATTGCAGCTGAGAGATATCACAGCTATGTCAGCAGCATACAAGTGGCCCACAACCCTAGCACACAACTTCCAAGATGCACACAGCAATCTCATCCTGCTTTCTGCACTGCAACCTCCATATCTGGTATTCCAGCAAAGCAAATCCTCAATTTTCCCTAAGAGCAAAAATGAAAATATGTTATCTTTGGGCACACAAGGATAACCTTGTGCTGCGGGTACATCACCGTCGGATACTGATCCAGCAGAACAGACTGACTCTAACAGTGAAAACGTTTTGTTCATCTCACTCCCCACCCCCCACACCACCTCTCAATACAGTTAAGAAAATTTCATATGCACTACATACATATCACAGTTAAAAATAAAGTATTTTTAAAAAGACTGAAGTCTGGCTAGGATGCCTTTGCTCATAACAACAGATCTGTGTGAGGTACTTTTTCATACTCACAGGGTAAAGTCCCTCGTTATGCACAAGTGAGAATATATCTGAAAATAAGCCATTTGGCTACCTATGTGTCAAGCTTCATGCTTTTATTCCAAAGTGAATGATTTTCCAGCTTAGGTCTTGGACTAATAAAATAAGCGGCATTTAACATTTGACAGGTGGATTTCAGCATACAGCTTACACACAAAAGCAGGCCCAGCTCTGTATCTAGACTACAGGGGTAGAGAATAAGCACTGGAGCACTGGTCGTGGCAATCTGCTGTTACCAGCCCGAGCCTGCTTCTGCAAGTGGCCCAACATCTACACCCGTATGATCTATGTGCACAACTCCAGCCTGGGAACAAGCTCAAAGCAGAGGCCAGCACCACTCAGTGCAGACCTGTGTCTGAAACTGGTACAGTCTTTACAGGACTAGGTCCTTCAGCCTACGCAGAAGATCCTGTGTTCCAGAGTCAAGTACACACCTTCAGCTGACCTTGCTCCCAGGCAGTTTGAAGCGCAGTCCATTTCTCCATACTGTTTTACTCTACTATCCCAAGGCAGTGGTATGTGTGTGTCCCCCCCGCCCAAACTTCTCCATGACCAACTACCTGGGGAGTAACAGGAGGAGTCCTGTGCTGGGGCCATTTCACTCTCCAATGTTGTCACTAGGTACAAAGTGCAAAAGTGTTGCTGTTCCTGCATCCATTAAAAACTTTAAAAACAGAACAAAACAAACAGAAAAGGATTTCCATAATAATTTGAAAATACATTAAGTCTCCAAAAAGCCAGCAAACACCTGATAACCTGTTTGTGCCATATCTGCTCTCGTTCCTGCACGGCAGCAGTCCAGTGGATCATTATCCTCTTAGCTGGCAAACAACATGCTACCTTCTTTGCATACTCTCCAGCCAACGGAGGACGACATCCGGGAAGTTGAGTTTTGATGGCTCGGACAGAAGAGGCCAATTGCTAACTGACCCGAGATCCTGCAGTGAACTGTCACGTCTCCAGAGCAGAGAGCGCTGAGCAATTCACTGGAATGCAGAAAATTCCCATTTCTCAAGACAGTTCAGCATTACAGCAAGCTAGCTACTTGGCCTCTTGTTTGGGACAATGTCAATGACTTCCCTCCCGCCCCACAAAAATGTAAAATAAAATCCCTCCCTGCTTCATCCCATTTAAAGTGTTTGCATCTTTTCCTCCTATGAAATGTTTCTGATAAGGCTTTATTGCTATACAAAAGCGGTGCAAATGCTGCCCAAAGACAGCTCCATCAGGAACTTTGGTCACACGACTGCGGGACTCTTGTGCACTGTCCAAGTCCCAGCGTTAGACCTGCTACCTTTCTGAAGAGAAGCTGAATACTGTGTGCAATAACACTAAGAAAACAGGACTGAACCCCAAATACAAAACAAAAACAAGGGAGAGAGGGAAGGGGACAAGGAACTAAAATTAGGCAGAAGGCTTGCTTGGGAAGAACCCCATCATTCCTGTGATGACTAACTGATCAATGCTACATTTAGACAATGCAAGTGTCTTTCAGAACAGATTGTTGGTGTTGAAACTGCGTGTCTGGTCCTGAATGCCAGCTCTCTCATCAATGCAGCATTTATTAAAAAAAAAAATTAAAATGAAAAAAAAAAAAAAAAATTGACAAATTGCATCACCAGGTAGCAGCCTGGCCTGGATCACACACGTCCCATTGCATCTGTTTCATCAAGCAGGGCCATTTAATGTGGCTTCAGCACAGGGCAAGACTTCTTCTTTCCTAAAGAGAAACCCAAAGAGTAATATTAGAGAAATATAACTACTGGAACATACTCGCTCCTAAAGCTTACTTTCATCCTGGTTGGAAACTTTCCTCTTCAGTAGTATCTGAGCCATCCTTCCTCTATTTTTGTTTCTTCTGCCTTATAAAACATTATTAGTTTCCCAATGAGAACCTCCTCCGAGTCCTTTACAAAATACTACATTTAAAAAATCAAAATAGAAACTGAGAAGTCAGCTTTGACTGCTGATTACACAACATTAATCAATCTATGAACCAGAAGTTTGGAACACGACCATCAGGGTCCTGAGTCCACCAGAAGGCTCTGACCTGACCAGCCTCGTCTGGGGCCTCCCCCCGCAGGCACCCTCCACCATCAGCCTGGGAGCTGGATTCAGGTCTTTGCCGGAGCTATGCCGTACGCATGGCTTTGCACCTTCCTGCTGCAGACCTGCTGAACTGACTCCATGGCTCGTCCCGGGACCCACCTCGTCCCAGGACGAGGACGTGAGTGGTGATCGCTGGATGGGGTCCCATGGGACTGGGCACCTTGTCTGCAGGACTTTTGCCCCCCACTTTGCCGTCACCCTCAGGTCCCGGCTCAGCTCCTGCTGCCCACTGGTGCACTCAGGGCCCTGACAGTACCTGGGGTGCGGTGGTGAGAACAACGACCCGATGGGATACTCGGCTTCCTCCCAAATATGCGTTACACTAGCACTAGAATTTGTGTGAGACTGGTTGTGAATTGTGGGCTCAAATGCTAGGCAGTAGCTGTACTGGAGAGATAGAAGCAGCAATAATGCCGATAGCCGGGAAAGATTTTAATGGAGTGCAGTTGAGTGGATTGGTAGCATGAGGCTCAAAGTGCTGGTTAGAACTTCTTCCTCTCACCAAAAGTACCTAACGAAGAAATTCCCGTAGGATGGCCCAGATGTCTGGCTTCAGCTAAGCACCATCGTCTGAGATTCAGTCTGACAGCAAGCTTGCTCCAGGAGGATTGAGACACCCAAGAGAGGCTGCCTTAGCTCCAGAAGAGCAGAAGCACCTCTTTATTGATCCACATCTCTCTGGCCAAAAGCAGGAGCCAGAGCAAAGCTGTGGAGGCGACAGCACTAGATACGCAGAAGGATTGGTTTCCATATTTAAAAAGACCTAAACTGTCACATTCACAAAAAATTATTAATACCATTTCTCCTTGAGATTACTTCCAGTTTCAGTTATCAAAACACATTCCCATGTTTCCTCATAATATTTTAGCTGTAAATGTCTATATGTTCACCTGAACATACAAACCCATACTATCTGAGTATTTGTTATGCATGAGTAAGAAATGAGAAGGCCATTATTTTAATAGGACAGATGATTTGACAGCACTTCTGGGAAACTGAAATATATGTGCAATATATCGCAGTAATAGCTATACACTACCTGCAGTATAATGTGCTCCGAGACACTCCCGATGTACTACTCGTGTAACTTTGACCGTACACTAATGGTCGAATAACCGCATTCAGTGACACAGTAAAAACCTATTCTCTGTCACAGGCTGGTGAAGGAGTTTTGACCATCTCACCTGTCTTTTGTGGCCGTTTCCGTGACAGCTGTGACAACAGCGGCGGTGTTCTGGCGCTCCTCTGAGTGCTGGGCCACGTTGTTCAGGGGTTTGGATGCTTTTGTCATTCCAATGTCAGTGATGGCCAGCTTATCAATAACCATGCAGTCTGCATCACTGTGTGGGGAGAATTCAAGTTCATGTTAAAATGTCAATTAATGGGGCTTAAATTCCAACAGAGAGAAAAATATTCCTCCTCCTCTCCTAGCACAGGCCACAAAATCCCATAAAGAAATAAGAACTGAAAATAAACTGGAATTAAAAAGCAGTGTACGCATCCTGGAGGCTGTGTTTCCTAAAAATCAACAAGACACCAAATACGCACAAGAACGACAGCTCCTCAAGGCATTCCCATTTCCTGCAGCAAAATCCAGCCTAAGAGCTCCCCATGTATCCCCATCGCCTGCAAACCAGGCATTTTACCACCCTCTGCAACTATCTCTGCTGGTGCGCTCTCCTATGGACAAACACAGAAAACAAACAGTAGAAGGATACAAACGTGAAGTACATTCGGCCAAGACTTTGCAAGTTTAGAGAAAAAGTCCAGGAAGTCAAGTTTACCACTGGGAGCAACAAACCAAAAGCAGACTGCTTGCCTTGGCGTAACTGGAGACTGGCAGTACCAGCACACAGGACCACAGAACAGCCCGGGCTGGAAGGAACCTCAGAAGACCCTCTGGTCCAGCCTTTCGTGGGAAAGGCAGCCTAGAGGAGTTCACCTCTCCTGGAACTGCCCGCCGTTACCCAACACCGCCAAGCAGACTTCCAAGCCCACTGCTCCTTAAACTGCTGTTTTTGGCAAAGCGTGTTTCTGATCTAATATAGGCACCTCTGCTGCTCTACTCAACAGATTTTTCCCAAGTGGCACCTGATACTTCTGCGTGCACCTAGAAAAGACTTAAATTTAAGTACGGAACCTAAAATCCTGAGGAAGAAAAAAAAAAAGTTGATTGGATGTTCATGAGGGGTATCTTCAGAAGCCAAACACGGTTAAATTAACTTGCTTTCAGTAACACATCAGACGACAGATTCCCACGCCTGAGGGATGACATTCCAATGACGTCTCCCTACAACGAAACAGAAGCTCAGATCCTGAAAAAGGAAAGAAACTGCTAGCACAAAACCTACAAATCTTCTACATTTGTATTAAAAAGACCCATATTTCTAACTGGAGAAGTGATTTCCGTGAACGTCTTTATTTTTTGCCTTCTAAGGCAGAGGACAAGCTTGCATGTGAATGATCTTCCTCACAGTTTTAACCCAGTCCCAGTTTCAAGAATGATTTCTTCTTCTTTCAGAGAGCACACCCACAAAAATGGAAGGAAAGCTCAGTAGATGACTGAACTGGAATCCTGTCACCAGCTGCCAGGGGAGTTTATAATGCATACATATAATCACAGTCTGGTAATTAAGACATGCGATAGAGATTTTGAGATCAAGGTTCTATTTCTGTAGCTACTTTTCTGTATGCTCTTGAAAAAAATACATAAAAGATGAGGAATATTGAGATCAAAACATTCATCTTCCTAAAGGGCTAACATGCTATGCTGGTTTTGGCTGGGATGGAGTTAATTTTCTTCACAGTAGCTAGTATGGGGCTATGGTTCGGATTTGTGCTGGAAACACTGCTGATAACACAGGGATGGTTTAGTTACTGCTGAGCAGTGCTGACACAGGGTCAAGGCCTTGTCTGCTCCTCACCCCACCC